ACGGGCTATTCATGCCCGTGCCACCTTTTGGGTGGCTTAATCTTCATCAATCAATGAATAAGGATTTGGGATGGGACGGGGGGAATGAATGGGGCCCAACCATTTGGACGGTCGGGGATTGAGCACCGACCTGTATGAAGCGAGACCGTCGCTCTACCGTACCAGCCCAGGTAGTTGGGATTGTGGAATGGGGAAAAAAAAATTTCTAACATAATTGAAAACATCACATATGTTGTTAATGTTAGAAATTAAACAGTCAGCAATAAAATACAAAAATTGTCGTGGTGACAAATGGCGTCCTTGCAAGAAAACTTGTTATAAACGTTTTTATCATTTCTGTCCAAACATTTCAGAATATAATTACAAATTATTTTCGTTGCTTGGACAGGATGTGTGCAGTGGTTTGTGATTTTCGTGGGGTATATCTTGAGGTTATCTTGAGATGATTTCGGGGCTTTAGTGTCCCCGCGGCCCGGTCCTCGACCAGGCCTCCACCCCCAGGAAGCAGCCCGTGACAGCTGACTAACTCCCAGGTACCTATTTACTGCTAGGTAACAGGGGCATTTAGGGTGAAAGAAACTTTGCCCATTTGTTTCTGCCTCGTGCGGGAATCGAACCCGCGCCACAGAATTACGAGTCCTGCGCGCTATCCACCAGGCTACGAGGCCCCTTCGTGTTAAAAAAAATCACATACCCGCAGAAACAGGATGTTTCGTGGGGTATATGATTTTTTTTTATTAGAAACGTTATGAGTTGATGAGCTTTATTATTTATGAGAGTACCAAAGCGAGAAGCAGTGTTGTTGTCTATACTATGCCACACATAAACGCCTCTTCTTCCTGCAAAGAAATAGACTTGAATCTATTGTTCAGACGACGGCTTTGCTGAAGCCAAAGGTATCTTCAGCATAGTCTGACATAGCAGGGCGCCTGACAGCTGGATGGATAGCGCTTCGGATTCGTAGTCCTGAGGTTCCGGGTTCGATCCCCGGTGGAGATGGAGACAAACAGGCAAAATATTTCCTTCATCCTGATACCATTGTTACCTAGCAGTAAATAGGTACCTGGGAGTTAGGCAGCTGCTATGGGCTGCTTCCTGGGTGTGTGCAACAAAAAAGAGGCCTGGCCGAGGACCGGGCCGCGGGGACGCAATGCCCTGAAATCATTTCAAGATAACCTCAAGATAGTCGAGTATTAGACATGAAACTGATACGTTACTGGGTATATACTTCTGAATCCTCGAGTCATACTCTAGTGCCTCTGCAGTAACTGCTCCCATCTTGTCCTCTCTGTGGCGTGTGTCCCCGTATGAAGGTTAGCATTATACGTGTATTTACTATCGTAAATACGTGTATAATCGAGAAATATAGATTAATCGTGCCTGCTATCTACTATAATATATCCACAACTGAGGCGTCTGAATAGTAACATCGTTCATGGTTGTGTTGAATTCCATCGCAGATCTCTGTTCCAGACGAACCAGAAAAATAAATTTGCTCACAATTACGTCTCTTGTGTGAATTCCTCAGTTGCATCCAGGACTTGAAATCTGTTCTGAGTTTTAATTAACATTACAATTCATCAGAGGCATCGGAGTTTCTTCCGAAATGGCATTCAAGAGAACATAAACTTTGATGAATCTGCTGTACCTGCAAGATTCCATTGATGAAGGTGTAACGAAGATCAAGAAACGTTTCTTCTTTCTTTTAAAAGAAAAAAATACTCTCTCTTAAAGTTCCATATTTGCTACAGAAGTTTTTATGAATATTTGTTGTAAGTTTCAGGGACAACGTTAGACAAGTTCACCTTTAAAGCCTTTGAATCTTCGCTGCTTTCATCTCCTATGAAAGCTTCGTTCCTTCATGCGTTCAACCACTTGACTTGAACGGTAGAACGACGGTCTCTCTTCCTGCAGGACGGCGTTCAATCCCCGACCGTCCAAGTGCTTGTGCACAATTCCTTTCCCTCGTCCCATCCCAAATCCTTATCCTGACTCCCCCTTCCTAGTGCTATATAGTGATAATTGCTTGGAGCTTTCCCCTGATAATTCCCTACCTCTTTCATGGGTTAATGTCGTACCACAACGAAAGGCAGTGCTTGACGCAGTGCTTGACGCAGTGCTTGATGCAGTGCTTGACGCAGTTCTTGACGTAGTGCTTGATGCAGTGCTTGACGCAGTGCTTGACGCAGTGCTTGACGCAGTGCTTCATGCAGTGCTTGACGCAGTGCTTGACGCAGTGCTTGACGTAGTGCTTGACGCAGTGCTTGACGCAGTGCTTGATGCAGTGCTTGACGCAGTGCTTGACGTAGTGCTTGACGCAGTGCTTGACGCAGTGCTTGACGTAGTGCTTGATGCAGTGCTTGACGCAGTGCTTGACGCAGTGCTTGACGCAGTGCTTGACGCAGTGCTTGACGCAGTGCTTGATGCAGTGCTTGAGGCAGTGCTTGACGCAGTGCTTGATGCAGTGCTTGACGCAGTGCTTGACGCAGTGCTTGACGCAGTGCTTGATGCAGTGCTTGATGCAGTGCTTGACGTAGTGCTTGATGCAGTGCTTGACGCAGTGCTTGACGCAGTGCTTGACGCAGTGCTTGACGCAGTGCTTGACGCAGTGCTTGACGCAGTGCTTGATGTGAGTCTCTTTAGACGATTATTCGTGTGACGACAGGAAGCTCCTTGAGGCTCGCCTGTAGCTGCTGGTTGAGTGGCTCCTGTAGCTGCTGGTTGAGTGGCTCCTGTAGCTGCTGGTTGAGTGGCTCCTGTAGCTGCTGGTTGAGTGGCTCCTGTAGCTGCTGGTTGAGTGGCTCCTGTAGCTGCTGGTTGAGTGGCTCCTGTAGCTGCTGGTTGAGTGGCTCCTGTTGCTGCTGGTTGAGTGGCTCCTGTTGCTGCTGGTTGAGTGGCTCCTGTTGCTGCTGGTTGAGTGGCTCCTGTTGCTGCTGGTTGAGTGGCTCCTGTTGCTGCTGGTTGAGTGGCTCCTGTAGCTGCTGGTTGAGTGGCTCCTGTAGCGCTGGTTGAGTGGCTCCTGTAGCGCTGGTTGAGTGGCTCCTGTAGCTGCTGGTTGAGTGGCTCCTGTTGCTGTTGGTTGAGTGGTCCTGTTGCTGTTGGTTGAGTGGCTCCTGTAGCTGTGGTTGAGTGGCTCCTGTAGCTGTGGTTGAGTGACTCCTGTAGCTGATGGTTGAGTGGCTCCTCTAGCTGATGGTTGAGTGGCTCCTGTAGCTGCTGGTTGAGTGGCTCCTGTAGCTACTGGTTGAGTGACTCCTGTAGCTGCTGGTTGAGTGGCTCCTGTAGCTGCTGGTTGAGTGGCTCCTGTAGCTGCTGGTTGAGTGGCTCCTGTAGCTGTTGGTTGAGTGACTCCTGTAGCTGATGGTTGAGTGGCTCCTGTAGCTGTTGGTTGAGTGACTCCTGTAGCTGATGGTTGAGTGGCTCCTGTAGCTGCTGGCTGAGTGACTCCTGTAGCTGATGGTTGAGTGACTCCTGTGGGTGCTACTTGAGTGACTCCTGTAACTGCTGGCTGATTGGCTCCTGTAGCTGTTGGTTGAGTGGCTCCTGTAGCTGCTGGTTGAGTGGCTCCTGTAGCTGCTGGTTGAGTGGATCCTGTGTAGCTGCTGGTTGAGTGGCTCCTGTAGCTGCTGGTTGAGTGGCTTCTGTAGCTGCTGGTTGATTGGCTCCTGTAGCTGCTGGTTGATTGGCTCCTCTAGTGCTGGTTGAGTGGCTCCTCTAGCTGCTGGTTGAGTGGCTCCTCTAGTGCGGTTGAGTGGCTCCTCTAGCTGCTGGGTGAGTGGCTCCTCTAGCTGCTGGTTGAGGCTCCTCTAGCTGCTGGTTGAGTGGCTCCTCTAGCTGCTGGTTGAGTGGCTCCTGTAGCTGCTGGTTGAGTGGCTCCTGTAGCTGCTGGTTGAGTGGCTCCTGTAGCTGCTGGTTGAGTGGCTCCTGTAGCTGCTGGTTGAGTGGCTCCTCTAGCTGCTGGTTGAGTGGCTCCTCTAGCTGCTGGTTGAGTGGCTCCTCTAGCTGCTGGTTGAGTGGCTCCTCTAGTGCTGGTTGAGTGGCTCCTCTAGCGCTGTTTGAGTGGCTCCTCTAGCTGCTGGTTGAGTGGCTCCTCTAGCTGCTGGTTGAGTGACTCCTCTAGCTGCTGGTTGAGTGGCTCCTCTAGCTGCTGGTTGAGTGGCTCCTCTAGCTGCTGGTTGAGTGGCTCCTGAAGCTGATGGTTGAGTGGCTCCTGTAGCTGCTGGCTGAGTGACTCCTGTAGCTGATGGTTGAGTGACTCCTGTGGGTGCTACTTGAGTGGTCCTCTAGCTGCTGGTTGAGTGGCTCCTCTAGCTGCTGGTTGAGTGGCTCCTCTAGCTGCTGGGTTGAGTGGCTCCTGTAGCTGCTGGTTGAGTGGCTCCTCTAGCTGCTGGTTGAGTGGCTCCTCTAGCTGCTGGTTGAGTGGCTCCTCTAGCTGCTGGGTGAGTGGCTCCTCTAGCTGCTGGTTGATTGGCTCCTCTAGCTGATGGTTGAGTGGCTCCTGTAGCTGCTGGTTGAGTGGCTCCTGTAGCTGCTGGTTGATTGGCTCCTGTAGCTGATGGTTGAGTGGCTTCTGTAGCTGCTGGTTGATTGGCTCCTGTAGCTGCTGGTTGATTGGCTCCTGTAGTGATGGTTGAGTGGCTTCTGTAGCTGCTGGTTGAGTGGCTCCTGTAGCTGCTGGTTGAGTGGCTCCTGTAGCTGCTGGTTGAGTGGCTCCTGTAGCTGCTGGTTGATGAGTGGCTCCTGTAGCTGCTGGTTGAGTGGCTCCTGTAGCTGTTGGTTGAGTGACTCCTTTAGCTGATGGTTGAGTGGCTCTTGTAGCTGTTGGTTGAGTGACTCCTGTAGCTGATGGTTGAGTGGCTCCTGAAGCTGATGGTTGAGTGGCTCCTGTAGCTGCTGGCTGAGTGACTCCTGTAGCTGATGGTTGAGTGACTCCTGTGGGTGCTACTTGAGTGGCTCCTGTAACTGCTGGTGATTGGCTCTGTAGCTGCGGGTTGAGTGGCGCTCTGTAGCTGCTGGTTGAGTGGCTCCTGTGAATGTGGATGACAAAGGTTGCATATACTGCGTCACTACGATAAAAAATTACTTGTATTTTTTATTATCATGTTAATGTTCATTTCTCATGTTATTGCTGCTGTTTATATTACTAGAATGTTGATGACCAGACCACACACCCGAAGATGACGAGACGACGACGTTTCGGTCCGTCTTTGATCGTTATCAAGTCGTTTGGTACCGTTATCAAGCCGTTTGGTACCGTTATCAAGTCGTTTGGTACCAGTATCAAGTCGTTTACTACCATTATCAAGGCGTTTGGTACCATTACCATAATGGTTCAGGAGGGACCGAAAACGTCGTCGTGTCCTTATCTTCTGGGGTGTGGTCTGGTCATCATATCATCAGCCACGTTATTGTGGCTCATCGTCTACTATCAACGTTATTCTATGTGAAAGGTTTACGTGCGTTAAGGGAAATAGTTAAAGATATACTGATGTGTATTGGGCGTCAGCATGGGGGGAGGGGGGAGGGGCGCGTAGTACGCAGCAGGTGGCATACTTGGGGGCATCTGGCTATGTCAGATGATATGTTCAACCAATTAGCAGTTTTGTTTTTAATTGGGTGTAGACTATATACCTTAATCCGTCAGACAAGGGTAAGTGGTTAACTGGAATATTTCGGTGCGTTCCTAGAGTAATTTGAGGCCCGTATATGTGTATCCAAATTATTAATGTAATTAGGTATCTTAAAAATATATATATATATATATATTATATAATATATATATAGATATACTATATATATATATATATAATATATATATATAATATAATTTATGGACATTGTCAATAGCATTTAAAAGTTCTAATTATATTTATGTTAATTCATGATACGTAAATGATTTAGATAAATATTGAATTGTCGTAATAATATTAAAATGCCCTCCTAATATTTGTTATTCTTATATATAATAATATTTTGGGCATTTAGCATTATAAGCCGCAAATTTTGCAATACATAAATTAATAATATTGGTTTACGGATGCGTTGTAGAGGTAGACTGGATGGTTATATTTCCCACGAGAACGTAAACTTGTAAAAATAATTATAACTTACAAAAACTCTCTCCGTATGAGCACTAGGAAAGACTTCTCATTCTTGATTGATTACGTTTAATTTGATATAACAAACTAAAAATGTTAATAATTAATTATTAAGAAGCACCAGGATAAGAATGATTTATTGCCAAATTTCCGCGAAAAATTGATGATGTTTTGCTGGATTCCCAGCGATGGTACACCATGAACCAAAACCAGTGTTGAACTCAATTTTCCTTTAACTAACGGGAACAAAATGGGTGAAAATGCGACTGCGAACAGATAATAAATGATTGAAATTACTAACATATTATCATCATAGAATCTAAGATGTTCATGAAGTATTCAGAGTCCGCTTGAGGTTGAACTTTGATTAGAGGTGTTCAAAACCTAATAAAAAAAATGAACACAAGTGGCCAAGAAAACGTTGGCTTGAGCGAATTGCTTTTGGTTCACGAGTCTTCTCAGATGAAACAAAACATTATCCTGGTAACTCATTTATTATGTGTGTAGGTGATGTGCGTCTGTCAGCGCCGGAAAACATCTTAGTTATAGTGATGTGTTTAATTAATGAAATTATAAATCTGGTATGTGAATTTACTCAACTGACTGAGTATATTTAATGAGTTATTGCAGAGAGAACCGACGACGTTTCGTTCCATCCTGGACCATTATCAAGTCGATTGTATAATGGTCCAGGACGGTCCGACGATGTTTCGGTCCAGGACAGATCAACGATATTTTGGTCCAAGACGGACCGAAACTTCGTCATCTGATCATCATCTGGTGTGAGGGTTGGTCTTCATGTCTTCAGCCACGTTATTGTGGCTCATCGTCTGTATTTATTGCAATGTTAATTCGAGAATCGTTTACGAACCTCAATTTGCACTATTGGAAATCAATTCACAGTATATGAAACATTAAACCGAAAAGTACATATTATTGCAGGATAAAGGCCCGTGACCTCCTCTCTCGCTCGCTCTCTCTCTCTCTCTCTCTCTCTCTCTCTCTCTCTCGATAAGCCAGAGCAACACGCACACACACATGCCTAAAGCACAGAACATGGTCGCTTAATCACACAGTGGAAGACACACTCACACGCAGGCGATGAGTCACAATAACGTGGCTGAAGTATGTTGACCAGATCACACACTAGAAATTGAAGGGACGACGACGTTTCGGTCCGTCCTGGACCATTCTCAAGTCGATTGACTTGATCAATCGACTTGAGAATGGTCCAGGACGGACCGAAACGTCGTCGTCCCTTCAATTTCTAGTGTGTGATCTGGTCAACACACTCACACATTCGCACTTGCCAACAAAGGACAACATCAATTCCAACAAATGAATGCATTTCTACAAAGGGTTATTCACGTCACTTAACGCATTGTCAAAGGCTTGTAATTAGACAGCTTTGCATACAGAAGGCATAATTCTCGAGGATCGATTGAAGGAAGTCGTCAATTGGGGCACCACATGTTGAGAAAGAAAATTAACGGTATAACTCGATGGAGGATGAAACGTGGAGTGATAGATAGTCATCAAAATTAGCGGTTGGGCCTGATGGTCAGCTCCAGAATAATCTTAAGCTTCTCACACGTGATAAGCAGTGTGAGAATTGAAGTGCCGAGAAGGGAAAAGTCTTACATTGCCGCTGGAATTGAAGAGTTCATTTGAAGAGTTAGAAACAGCTTTGATATGAATTTTGTTTTTGTGGGTCAAAATTTATGAGAACTATGGGGCACCCAGTTCCTCGTGTCTGAGGTATCGAGCGTCATTGTGGGAAATTTTACCCACTATATCTATAATCATCTAAGAAATGTATTATTTCTATATCATATCTAAATCATATCTATATTATATTAAATCATATCAGAATCATTATAGAATCACTATAGATTCATTATACATCTTGATCCTAGATGACAATGGCACTATGATCACGTATGCCATAGGGCCCTATAGATGCCTACAAGACTTTGTGTATGATCTCTCAAGGATCCAGAAGCTTCTAGAAGGATTTCTTAATTAAAAAACTATTGGAACATTAATCGATTTCCGGTAAGGATTATAAATCGAATCCTTAATAAGAATCAGTGGTACTATTAAGTACTACTTAAAATCTTTAAATCCTATATCTAATTATATTATAATCACATCTTATCTCAGTCATATGTCTAGACAGTAAAAATAATCAATCAATATTCATTGAAAGCTACCCCCTCTCAAGGGAGAGGGGGGAGCATCTCGGGAAGAGAAGCGCCCACGACACCCCGCGGGACTACGCGTTTGTTGACAAAACAGTGAACAAGTATGAGGGTACCTTAGCGAACATTACATAGCTCAGGACACCTTATCGAATTATCTTTATCACCAGTGAACACTCTCTAGAACTGGGGGAGTACCTGGACAATATCTACAAGGAAAATTCCTAGAACATTTATATAAAATAAGAGTGAATAGTGGAGCACACAGTGACTGTCTCCACCCTCATCCTACTGCAACCGCTGTTAAAGAAAAATCATGTAGCAACGCTATAAGAACAATCTACAGCAAAGCTGTTATATAAAATATCGTGCCTAAACTCGCGACAAGAGAGTTATCAAGTCTGGCACACTGTCAGACAGGCACTCCGGCATTCAGAGAAGTATATTGAAGGTTATTTTGGTACATTAATTGGCCTATTGTATGCTTGTATGACTTTAATATCCTACAAGTCTGTCTGTCGGTTATAAAGTGAGGCAACGCCTAATATCTCAGTAAGTTTATTAATATTGTAGTGCAGCAGTTGAAGCTTTAAGTACCAAACTTCATGAGTGTCCATGGTGTAAGACAAGATTGTCAAGGCAAACAAAAACTCATGAGAGTCCATTGTGTGGGAAAAGATTCAGTCAAGCTGACTGTACCTCATCATATAAAGTGAATATAAATACATCTGCATATATACTTGAATATATAAATTAAGTTAACAATTGCTTGCTTAGTTATTTTTTAAGTTATCATATAAGTTCATTTAATTGAATATAATCTTTAGTTCTTAGTTAACAGTACTTACACCATATTTAAGGTCATTTATTTTACTGTTGCAATTTAAATTGTTGTTTATAGTATAAGGATATATTGCCTGTTAATAGTTATAGTGCTAGGCTAGGCTATGTACATGTTTAAATCTCTGATTTAAACAGAGCCAGTGTTCAGTCATATAACTGAATTTATTAAATCTTATCCTTGTATAAAATACAAGCTGATGTGAGATACCTGTTGGCAGGTGGACTGTGGATCTTCAATCAACCTATCAACTAATTCATTCACCCCACCTGCCCCTTACAGCCCACAATCTGTCATTAGGAAAAGAGAAGCTAGGATTTACAACCCTAGCTAGAGATTTTAGTTGAATTAATTTGCAGACAGTAATTTTTAATTTAGTTCAGCTGACTACAAGTACTACAAGTACTTGTAGTACTCCTCTCATATCAATCCCAGCAGGTTTTCCCCACAGTCATGATAAACGAGTTACGCAGGGCATATTTAGACGGCTTGAACATGTAGGTCGAATGTTTCGAGCTGTTTCGAGTTAGACGTTTGTGGCTGTTGAACTCGCTCAACTCCTTGGCCACCTTTGGGTGATTTTATCTAGGGGAACACACACTCACTCACACACACACACACACACACACATACACACATACACACTCACACGCACATACACACATACACACACACACACACGCACAGGTATGAGCTATGAGGAGAGACTACGGGAATTAAACCTCACTTCGTTGAAAGACAGAAGAGTTAGGGGGAACATCATCACCACATTCAAGATTCTCAAGGGAATCGGCAGGGTAGATAAAGACAGGTTATTTAACACAAGGGGCACACGCACTAGGGGACACAGGTGAAAACTGAGTGCCCAAATGAGGCACAGAGATACT